CTGCATGACAAAGGCAATTGCAAGTGCTAGCTAAAATCTGCCACCATTTCCTTCATTTATTTTTCAGTTCAACCTAGTCCAGACAACTCTCTAAGTGATTAAGCGCTCCATTTTCAGGGCATTTTCATTTCTATTCCTTTGGTGGGTGATTTCACCCACTTTTGCTAAGTTCAGACATTATCTGTTTTCTAGTCACTTCCAATTTGTCCTGGTTTTCTCCCTCTCATGAACTCATCTAATTACTCACCAGCTCAATTGAGCTGTTCCATAAGTATTTAAACTTGATCATATCAAATAGGACTCTGCAACTTAACTCTAAATTTGATTCTATTACCATAAGCTAAATTTTAATACAATAACTACCTGGTTCTGATGACACAGTTGCTTAATTCAAAATTTTACATAATATTCAATTCCTTTTTTTCGCTCACCTTCTCATATAAAAGCATCATGAATCATTGGTTTTGCCTCCAAGTTATGACCACTAGACCGTGAGCTTCATAAAAGAATTATACTTTGTCCTGTTGTACAACGAATTCTAAAGATCTAGAGAGTGTTCAGTGCATAGTATGTAACAAATAAATATTTGCGAATGAATGGATGCTTGAGTATTAAATCTGATTACTTCCCTTCATTCTAAGAACAAACATGATAGGCTAAATCACCATCATCTTTTGCATACAGTTTTTCCTAACTGGTGTGCTGCTGCTCCCTCCATATCCATTCCCTATCTCGATAGCCTATTTGTAAATTTAAGGCCACCCTTTGGATTCCAGTCCATTAGCATAAATTGAAATCTTGTACACTGCCCTGAAAAGTATCTACCTATTTCTTCAATTTTATTTACTGTTTTTCTTTGTCTCATTCTCCATGGAAACGCCACATTCCCTGACTTAGCTTCGACAAATTAATGAAAGAAGACAAGGGCAGGTGAGTAGTCCAATGATGTCAAGGATTAAAAGCATACAATATTTGTTTTTCCCTAGCTCTTCCACTGAATGATAAATTATAATGCTAAATTATTAAGTAATCTACTCTTGGTTTCTCAACATTCTTACCTACCAGTTAATGCAATCTAGTATCTCTCTAAATACTGGATTGAAAGTATTCTTCTAGGTAGCAAACTCAATAGGGCATTCTTAAAGTTAATTAAATTTTATCCTATACATACTTTGTGTTTTTTTTTTTATTTATTAGAGCCTAGTTTTTTAAAAAAAATACCAATCTAAATTCCCACTCACTCCCCTCCTCCCATTCCCTCCACACATCCTCCCAACCCACCCACCCCCAACCCTAAGAGAGGGTAAGGCATTTTGCTTTGTGGAAGGTCCAAGGCCCTCCCTACTACATCTAGGCTGAGCAAGGTATACCTTCAAAGACTTCCCATTTGTTATTCCATATTCATGAGACAGTTGCTTAGATAGTTGATTTGCAAATCTGCCTATATAAGATAATCTTTTGAAATAGATATTTTCCAAAAACCTGACTTTAAGATAATGCATAACTTATCTTTCAATTAAAGTATTTCACAATGCTCCTTGTGAATTATTTTAAGGCTCAGATTTTTCTTGCAGTATGTTTTAATTTTCAAACTTAAGAAAATTTTTGTAGTCATCATTTTATTGTTGATATTTAGCCCAAATTCACTTGATTGGGGCACATATTCAGTACTTAATTTATAACAGGTTTCAATCCTTTGATGTGATTCGTAGTACCTGTTACCTACTTGACAAAACCTAGATTCACCTGGCAAGAGGGACACTCTACTAAAGAATTATCTCCATTGGATTGACCTTTGAACATGTCTTGACTGATGATAGGCATTTTGGGAGTGGGGGGGGTGGGAGGCTGAGGGCATCCCAGGGAAGTGGGGGCATCCCATTGTGGATGGCACCATGTATAGGCAGGCCCTGATGAGCGTAAACTGGCTATCATTCCTCCATAAGTTCTGCTTTGAGTTCTTGCTTAGATTCCTATCCTGTCTTCCCTCAGTGATGGATTATGACCTGGAAGTGGAAGGCAAATAAACCCTTTCTTCCACAAAGTTGCTTTGGTCAATGTATTCATTATAGCAACAGAAAAACATGTTAAAACACTAGGTATTTATTGTGATGTATTTTATAGTCCAGCTTGTGGTAAACTTAACAAAATGTTCCTTCTGCATTTGAAAAGTATGCGTTTTTTTTCAGTTTTATGTACAGTGAGTTTATTAATCCTATTGCTAAATTTACATCCTTAATGATTTTTTAATTGACTCTTTTTCCATCAATTATTGAAAGATGTATGTTAAATTTGTTCATTATGATTGTGGTTTTATCTGTTTTTTATTTGTTAATTTAATCATTGCATATCCAAGACCATGCTATCAGTTTAATATAAATAATAATTTTGTGTATTTGCTTTTGTTTTTATATGCAAGTTACCATCGGCCTAGAATTCACTAGATAGTCCAAGCTTGCCATATAGCTTACAAAAATCTCCTGTCTGAGCCTCCTGAGTTTTGAAATTACAGTTGTGAGTTTACATGCCTGGATTTAGCAGCAGATTTTTCTCAAATATTAAATATTGGCTTTATTTGATTAACATTTTCATGCTATCTGTCTATCTACTATTAATTTTAGGCTTCTGTATTTCCCTTATATATGTACTATAGGAAAGAAGGAATTGGATTTTATTTGGGTTCTTATTTCATCTGACAATCTTTTTTAATTTTGATTTGTCTATTTTTTGTATTATTTGTCGATGCATTTGGGGTTGATTGAGCACTTGGCCATTTGATTTTCTTTATCATTCTTGCTCTCCATTTCCCCTTTCTTTAATCTCTACTTTCTTTTTACCCTGTGTTTTCTTTTCTTCTGTTCTTTTACTAGTTATAGTTTTAAAAAATGTGTTAGTCTTTAATGGCTATTATTCTATTATGCCAGTATTGTCAAGAAATCACAGAATCCATTCAAATAGAGCTCAGATTCAGTCTAAGAATCTTCTACACCGCTTTTCAAAAATATTTTACCAATTATTCAGATTTTGGAAGGAAACTAAAATTTGTTTTTTATATACAGACAAAAGAAGTGAGCCGATAATGTCTTTTAAACTTTCTCATTACCAAAATCATCTGGGGTTTTTATTAATTGTGCACATTCTCATTTCTCCCTCCAAGCCTTATGAGTCAGTGTCTTCATTGAATTTCACTGAGAATCAGCATTTCCCTTAAAAATTTAGATGAATTCCATTATGATAAGGTAAAATTTAGGGGAACATTGGCAGTATTAGCTCTTAAAAGAGCTTTTTGAATGACTTAAGCCACACATAGACAATAACGTCATTGTAACGTTCATGGTGCAAACTGCACTGTTTATGAGCTGAAAAACCATCACAATTCAGTATTATTTCCTGGGCAGAACAAGTGATTCTGAACTTGTGCCATCATACTGGACTTCTCTGAAGAAATAACTAGGTTCCACAGGGATATGATTCATAATTTATATAAGCACAGTGTAAAAAGGCAAAGTATGAGAAAAGATATGTGTGTGTCCATTTCCCTAGGCTGGAGAGATAAAATATTCTTGAAATGGAGCTAGGCAGAAGAGACTGGTCAGCCAGCAGTATATGTTTTCATACTGCTTTAAAAACCTTTGGTAAATGCAGCCAGTACTCAGGGAGCTCATACATATACAAACTCCTCAAAGTAAACTAACAATGACTCTTTGATTCCTATGTATTTATAAGCAGCGATATTGACAACCCCCTTTTAAAAAAAAACTCCAACATATTAACATATGATTCAGAGTTTGCTTTACCTTCACCAGCAGGTTTATGGAACCTTGGGGCGTAGATTTTGAAAAATAGCTCATATAATCTACATTAAATTTTTACTTGAATTTTTAGTGGTATTGTTATAGAAGGTAACACTCTCTATATCAATAGACATATTCCTCTTCCAGTCAGAAGTGCAAGCAAGATACAATGCTTCTGTTATCCCTCATGGGGCTAAGAAATAAACCAGGGCTTGCTTTCCAAACATGCCCTCACACTCAATTGCTTGGGAGCTGAAGAAATACTGAGCCTTATCCTGAAAAGGGGATTTAATTGATGGTGGGGTGCTGCCAAGGCTTGGGAGTTTTGAAGAGTCTCTAGATGATTCTATAGGAGCTATTGAGCTGCAAAGTTGAAATATAAACCTCTAAGTAAGTAAGGGAAAACTTAAGGTTTCTGTGCTAAAGTCAAGACAATGATATCAGCCTTATTTAAAGTACCAACATGCAGTGATGCAGTGTGCACATGTAGGGTACAGAACATAGAAATGAGTGATTCTTAAGATGTGGGTCAATGCCCCTTTGGGGATCGCATGACCTTTCCACAAGGATCACATATCAGAGATCCTACGTATCAGATATTTACATTATGATTCAGAAGAGCAAAACATGCAATTATGATGTAGCAAGGAAATAATATTATGGATGGGTCACCACAACATGAGGAACTGTATTAAAAGATCACACCATTAGTAGGGTTGAGAACCACTGACATGAAGGCAGATCCACTGATGAAAAACATCAAATCAGTTAGTTATGTACACATAGTCACATACAAATTGTTAATATTCATCCACAGTTTTAAAAGAACTGTCAGTGAATCTATATGCCTAATTAGAGTTGTTGCATAAAAATCAGAAAGCCCAAGAAGATTTGAATTTCAGATAAACAGGAAATAATTTCAATATAATTATATACCATGCATCATTTGGGATATAATTATATTATAATATATTTACCTGGAAATCATGCTTAGCTGTGTGACTTGTAATTATATTGACTAAACCTGCTAACCTTACCCACCATTTTAAAGGACTAGTTTGATCAACAATTTATTAGAACAAAAATTAAGTTCATTTTCTTCTTCATTATGTGTTCTAGGTGGGTTTTTTTTGTTGTTGTTATTGTTACATTGCTTCGTTAACAACCTCAAGCTCTGTGTGATTCTGTACTGAGTGACAAGCCTACCTTAGTCTGCTTTTTCTGTCGTTTCCGGAGACGCAGGAACTCCTTATGCTGCCTGGAGACAAAGTTCACTGCTGCGTATTCCAGTAAGGCAGCAAAGACAAACAAAAGGCACACTGCCATCCAAATGTCAATCGCCTTCACATAGGAGACCTGAGGAACAGGATGGGATGAGAGAAGAAGAAGGAAGCTGTGAAGGCTTGCCAGAAAATCCAGTTCTACATTATATGAATGGCCCAAGTAATGGCCAAGTGTTTCTAGTCTTTAGAAAACTACCGTGCCTCGTGCTGCAACCAATGTTTACCAATAGGAGACTAACCAAAGAAGTTCCACGCACGTGTGTGTGTGTGTGTGTGTGTGTGTGTGTGTGTGTGTGATCTAATACAACAAACACACCCGGATGAAACTGGAGGACACTATCTTAAGCAAATCAATGATCTCACTTATTATCTCATAAAAGTTAAGAGTATATTAGCACCTGCCAGAGATTGGAAATGGTAAGTGGATATAATGCTGCAATTGGAGGAATAAATTCTAATTTTACATTGCAGAAAATGACTAACATAATTAACAATGATGCGTCATATGCCTCAAAATAGTTCAAAAAGACAATTTTGAATCAACTTGCCAGAAAGAAATAGTAAAAGTTCAAGATGTAGGGTATGCCAATTACCATAAGTTGACCATCACTTAATATATACACAAATTAAAATATCACATCAGAGTCTGGTGTATAGTTCAGTAGTATCAGTCATATTCAGCACATATGGGACTTTGAGTTCAAGTTTCAGAGTTAAGAACAAAATAAATTACCGAACATCCCACTATACCGCATAATTATGTAGCAATAAAAAGTGGTACAATTCTAGGGTTCCCTGCCCTGTGGGAAGTCCAAGGACCACCCACCTCCATCCAGGTCTAGTAAGGTGAGCATCCACGGTAAAGACAAGGTACAAAACTCATGCTAGTACCACTCAGAAGATTAAATATGAGACACATGAGACAATGACTCGGGGTAGCGGGAACTTGTGACTCTTGCTGCTTTGCAAGGGTCAACATCTCACTCTATACACATTTTCATGATACAGCAAGGAAAAATAAGGTTGTTGTAACATTGCAGATCTCAGACTGTCAAAGATACTCAAACTGCCAAATAAGTGTGTACTATTCAACTCTAATGTTTATGGATTTACTTACTATGTTTTTCCTTTTCTACTCTAAGCACTTGTCAACTCCCCTTTTAAGTATCACATATGTATATAACTGTTAAGCCCTATACCAATAGTATTATCCATTTTCTGAGATGGAAAACTGGAGTAAAGAAGGGTTAAATTATCACCTCAAAGCACAAAAGTAAAGCGTCAAAGTCAAGATTCAAGTTGAAATAGAGTGTTGACTAGTGTATTTCCTACCTGATCATACATAATACAGTTCCTAGAGCCACATTCTTATAGCCTCCATTCCCTTTGACATTTATGGCATTTGTCATGCAGTTTAACTTACTTCTAAACCATCATTTCCAATGCATGCACACATTATAATCCATTTAGGTTATTTTCAATTGCATTTCTCCGTACACAAATTTTGCTGCTGTGAGCATCTTTTCCCACAAATATCTGATTGTCTCTGTGTTTATTCGCTAGGCCAAATTTAGGTTGCATCATGGCAGGGAATGATATAAAAAGTCTCTTTATTCCGAAAGTTAGCAGCGGCACAGAAGGCAAAAGAGTACAAAGTTTAGAGTGGAAGAAGTGCATTTGCTACGGAACGTGCTTAACATCTCTAAATTGCTTCACCTTGGTGAAGCCATTCCTCAGATGTTAAATATGAGCGGTCATAGTACCAGTCTCACCGAGGAGGAGGTGAAGAAAATCATTTACTATATGCAGAGTTTAGGATAATGTCAAGGGTAAAAGAAATGCCATAGAAAGGCTTGTAATTATTTGACTTAATATGGGTGTGATTTTGTTCAAGGAAACCATTTTGGAAGAGAGAGAAGTTAACAAGGAAATGAAAATGTCTACAATAGAATGCAGTTATTATTACTATTTTTATTTTGGGGCAGTTTCATACACGTGTACTCTATATTACTTCCACCCCTTCCCTTTTCCTCCAACTCTTTCCTTTACCCATCTCAATTTCAGGTCCTTTTCTTTTATAATCTATTGTTTTACACACACACACACACACACACACACACACACACACCACCCCACATACTCACATTCACTTGCCCCTACTTCATTCACTTAGTGTTGTTCATGTACATATTCATGTACATGAGAACTTGAGACTGAATAACCTATGTGGGGGGGTCCATAGAAAAGACTGATTCTCCTTCTTTTGCACTCATTCCTTCCCTGTAGCTCTTCATCTAAGAGTGTGGCCTTGTGAAATTTTCCTACCAACACTGGTAAGTTAAATGGTTCAGGTATTCTGTTTATTTTTATTTTAGATTTCTTATTCATTTTACATACCAACCACAGTTACTCCTCCCTCTCATTTCTCCTGTTACCCTCACCCTCTCCACAATCCACCCCCATATCCACTCCTCTAAACGGTAAGACCTCCCAAGAGGTGTCAACAAAGGCTGACAGATTAAGTTGAGGCAGAACCAAGCCACTCCCCGCTTCATCAAGTCTGAGCTAGGCATACCACTTTAGGGAAGGGGGCTCAAAAAGCCAGGGATGGATCCTGGTCCCACTGCAATGGGGTCCTCAAACAGCTATTCAACATGCTGAGGGCCTAGTTCCATGGGTCCCATGCAGGCTCCCATGCCGGTCTAGAGTTTGTGAGTTCCCAAGAGTTTGATTCAGTTGTGTCTGTGGATTTCCTCCTCATAATCTTGACCCGTCTTGCTCATATAATCCCTCCTACCTGTTTTTGTTTGGACTCCCAGAGCTAAGCCTGAAGTTTGGCCATGGATCTGGTGCAGGTATTCCTTAGGTCAACCATACTGCTGAGATTTTAAAGGTACTGCTTCCCTGTCATGTCTAGAAGATACTGTATTACAGCAGATGTCCTGGGAATACACTTATTCTTTTGAAGATTGCTATCTGCTTTATGCTATATCAGACAATTGGAACTACTTGCCAGTCCCACTTACATTGTTCCAAGATGGCCCAGTTTGCCATCCTCTTCCCAGGGATGTATCATTATTTCTACCTGAGATGGGTAGTCATAGTTTGACCGAGGCTTTTCAGAATCTTTCAAAATCTGTCAGAAATGCCAACTCTCCTAGGAAGTTTCCTTAAGTCTTTCTCCTTTCTCCCATCTGGATTAGGTGACTTTTTTTTTTTTTTAAATTCTCTTACTGAACGCTACCAAATTTATTGTTTCTTAGTCACCTGTTTCTCTAGCTCTATCAATAGATTGCAAGCTGGTTTTATAGGTCTGTGCTTGGGTAAGTAGGTTGTTTTTAGAAGAACGAACCTGAGCAGAATTGCTCTTTGCATTACCAGTACAGAACCTGACATATCATAGGTAAGAATAAATTATGTATATACATACATGCATTCAACAACAATTAGTGGGAAAGAGTAAATAACTTTGAAGGAGAGTGGGAAGGCGTGTGTGAGAGGGTTTGGAGGGAGAAATGTACTATATTATAATCTCAAAAATAAAAACAAGAAAGAAAAAATAATGTGGGGTGGATGTATAGATGGATAAATGAATGATTGTGGATGAAAAGAAGGAATATTTTAGCCATTTTGCATGTTTTACATTAAATCAGATAATCTTAAACAATAATATCCACATGTATCCTTCATATATTAGATGCTTAAGTTGGAATATAATGAGTTTTAAATTCTCTTAGCATACCTAGATTTCCAGAATGTTCTTCCTTAGTAAGCAATAATTGGTTTTATACTTGTTCATCTGAAGCAACTCTATTCTATGATAATAAAATGTTACTAATCACAATATTCCCTGTTATATATTATTCAGATTTCCTGTAAATATTTTAAGATCTCAAAATGAAGAGAATTTGTCACTGCCTGAGATATACACAGAACGAAGTCCAGTAAAGCTGACCATATTTCTCTTATTCCTGGTGCTCACAGGAATTTCTAAACCCTTTTCCTATCTCCTCCTGACTGTCTGCAGGCTCAGCATGTATTTGGCTTCTTTTATAGCTGCTTATAAATGAATTCTTTCACTATCTTAATCATTTTGGTTGGTCTCTCAGTTTCCTTCAAATTAGGAACCTCTTTCCTGTATTAAACTGCTGGCATTGAATGCATTATTCACATGGAGTTAGAGGTTGTTGGGAGATGTCTATTACATACAATGTGATGCCCCTTGGTGTTGCTCTCTCAGGATCGAAATTCCTTTTTCTTCCTTTTAACCAGCTCTAACATCAGATTCTCTCCCTTTGGCTGCTAATCCTTAGAAGTTTTTAGCTCATATCTTTTCCTGTCACATTCTTTTTATGATTCTTGAGCTTACGTGATCCCTTCCTGAACTACTTACTACCAACTTGCAGGATAGTTTTTCAACGGTAATTAAGCTCTCAAAATGCTGCTATGATTCACTGACTTGGATTCTTTACAGGTATTTTTATTTTTTTAATTTAATTTTAGCTTGAAGTTTCTGAGCAAGGCCTTGTTATATAGGTCAGGCTTTCCTGGAACTCACCATCTTCTCATCTTGGCTTTCAAAACATTGGGATTATAGGAATATGTGCCTCTGTGGCAAGTCTCCTTTTAAGAATATTTAATTAGCTAGCAAGATGTCCCAGCAGGTACAGCTATCTACTGAGCAAGCCCCATGGCATCACTTAGATACTACTCCAACTCCACAGTAGGAGGAGAGATCCAACTCCCAAAATTCTCTCCGAAAATTGTCCTCCGACCTCCACCTCTACAGGTCAGTACACATTCTCTCTCTCTCTCTCTCTCTCTCTCTCTCTCTCTCTCTCTCTCTCTCTCACACACACACACACAAATAATAATAATGATAACAATAATAGTTTTGAGGCAAACAGTTTTAAAAACAATATTAAGAAATGTAAACCATGGCAGCCATTCATAGCCTAGTGTTCTATAAAAAGCATTGTGGTACGTGCTGTGAAAGGTGAACCTGAAAAAGCAAGATGAGTAAGATGCTTACTGATTCTTCCCAGAAGTTCTCTGATTACACTTGTGGGCACT